TACTAATAACAAAATTAAGTTAATTATAATGATTCAATGGAGCCTTTCTGTTTGAGTAAACCAAATGGCTTACTCGAACAGAAAGAGTGAAAAACAAAGTCGATTTCTCAGTAACTTTGTAGACTCTGTGTTTGTTTACATTGCACTTCCTCATTCCCTGCTGTATCTGATCAATAGGATTTTATACACAACACTGTACATAGATTTTTTTGGTACCTGAATATAACACTCTCCAGGCGGCACCGTTCTCTGTCCAACGATGAACTGCCAGAACAAGATGGCAGGAGCCCATAAGATGAACGACAGGATCCAAGCCGCTGCGATCATTAATCCTGCCATCTTAGTTGTCCTTCTTGCCGGATACGTAAGGGGTTTGGTCACACAGAAATATCGATCGAAGCTGATAATTAACAGATTCATCACAGAGGCGTTCGACACAACATAATCTAAAGCTAGCCACAAGTCACAGACCACCGGCCCAAGTGGCCAGTAGCCAACAATAATGTAGACTGTATACAAATTCATACTGAAAACACCGATGATCAAGTCAGCGCATGCTAATGAAAACAGGAAGTAGTTATTGACAGTTTGTAGGTGACGGTTTACTTTGATGGAGAGCATGACTAAAATATTTCCTGTAACAGTCACAAAGCTCAGCGATCCTGTAACCATAGCAATAAAAAACATCTCCAAAGCTTTGTATGGACTTCCTGTTCCCACTCCGCTCTCAACAGCAGAACAAGATGTTGAATCATTGGTGGATATGTTGCAGGATGTGTTGGAGAACAGGTCAGTCGTTTGGTTGAGCGATGAGCCTAAAAGAAGAGAAAAACAAGAGGATCGATTGAGAGAAATATGCACTGTGCTGCTGTAAGGTAACAACAACAAAAGTGGATTTTTTTAAATGTGGGAGACGTGTTTAAACACCCACTACAGCAGCTGGGTTTGTGACAGATTAAAATAGAGAAAGAAGGCTTTGCTTTCTAAACAGGGACAGTAAGAACATTTAGATTGAAAGAGGAAAAAGTAACAAGATGATGACATCAGGGTAGATAGCTACATATAAAAACATTTACAGATATTTGAATTTAAAGAACTTGTTAGTTGTAAACTTATTAGCTTCTCAATCTAATTATCCAGTATGTTCTGTCACACACACACACGTGTGCACACATCTGTATCTTGTGTATTTTTTTT